TCGGGAAAAAAGAGAGTAAACTGAGTCATCATCAAAACCCCTCAAACCTCAAACACAAAGGCAATCATCAACCTTGACCCTCAAACTACCCCGAAAAAAATGGGAACACACTGGTGAGTCGCAATCAAAACTGGGTCTTGGCAACACACACCTCCATACTTTTTGTTGCCAGGGTCAGAGCCCAGAAAGTGACTCAAGTCCATGAACCCAGGTAAGTCACTTGCTCAAAGCCCGGTATCAAAATGGTCCGAGCCCAGAACCATTGGTTCAAGAATCAAGAAGGCGGGTTTTTCCGCAGCTATTTTATGGCAAGGGGATTGATAATCCCTTCCTAAGCTTCATCTACCCGAATCGGTTTTGATTGGGGCTGAACTGGGCCAGTAACTGCTTTTGGATCCCACGCTAAAAGTGAATAACTTTGGTGGGTTACATCGGAAACCCAACCACTAAAACAACAAAATGGCTGTGGCTCAAAAAACCGGTACCAAAATGGACCCCTGGTAAGTGAAAACATGGTGTAAAAAGCTACGCTAAGAAACCGGATGCCTGGGAGCCAAGTAAACAATGCTGTGGGAAGGGTTCCTGTGGTGCCATCTTGGTTCCCAGGTAAATGGATCCACCGGTTCACCGGGCCCTGGCCCAAAGTAAAGAAAGTGGGCATGATTTCAGAGTGGTGCGAACGGACTTCATCCATCCACAGTGTGTCCGGATACTGGATACTATCTGGACATACCCAGTAATGAGAGCAGGATTCTTAAGCCAATGGAAGTTGGGGTAGGGGGAGCTTTCGAACACATTGCAACTTTGAGCCTATGTCGCCCAGACTTCCCCTGTTCTCCGGTTTTCGGGGCTAGAGGAAACTTGGCATACCTCACAATCATGGACGTGGGTTCTGGGGACCCGGTTCCCTGAAAGGAAGGTCTTCCAAAACCTTCCGATCGTCTAGGGTGCCCCAATTTGGATGTTCAGCCAACAGGTTAACCATGGTCATGACTGGAGCGGGAAACCTGGCCCTCTTATGAGAATCAACTACTTACCTGGCACGGTTTGGGCGAATTATCAGGGTCATAACTGGGCAAGTGCAAAATCTAAAAACCGCCTAAACTTGTTCACTCCCCCCCCTCAAAATCTAAAAAACCGCCTAAACTTGTTCACTCCCCCCCCTCAAAATCTAAAAACCGCCTAAACTTGTTCACTCCCCCCCCTCAAAATCTAAAAACCGCCTAAACTTGTTCACTCCCCCCCCCTCAAAATCTAAAAACCGCCTAAACTTGTTCACTCCCCCCCCCTCAAAATCTAAAAACCGCCGAAACTTGTTCACTCCCTCCCCTCAAAATCTAAAAACCGCCGAAACTTGTTCACTCCCTCCCCTCCAAATCTAAAAACCGCCTAAACTTGTTCACTCCCCCCCCCCTCAAAATCTAAAAACCGCCGAAACTTGTTCACTCCCCCCCCTCAAAATCTAAAATCCGCCTAAGCTTGTTCACTCACCCCCTCAAAATCTAAAAACCGCCTAAACTTGTTCACTCCCCCCCCTCAAAATCTAAAAACCGCCTAAACTTGTTCACTCCTCCCCCCCAAAATCTAAAAACCGCCTAAACTTGTTCACTCCCCCCCCCTCAAAATCTAAAAACCGCCGAAACTTGTTCACTCCCCCCCCTCAAAATCTAAAATCCGCCTAAACTTGTTCACTCACCCCCTCAAAATCTAAAAACCGCCTAAACTTGTTCACTCCCCCCCCTCAAATCTAAAACCCGCCTAAACTTGTTCACTCCCCCCCCTTCAAAATCTAAAAACCGCCTAAACTTGTTCACTCCCCCCCCCCTCAAAATCTAAAAACCGCCTAAACTTGTTCACTCCCTCCCTCAAAATCTAAAAACCGCCTAAACTTGTTCACTCCCCCCCCTCAAAATCTAAAAACCGCCTAAACTTGTTCACTCCCCCCCCTCAAAATCTAAAAACAAACTTGTTCACTCCCCCCTCAAAATCTAAAAACCGCCTAAACTTGTTCACTCCCCCCCCTCAAAATCTAAAAACCGCCTAAACTTGTTCACTCCCCCCCCTCAAAATCTAAAAACCGCCTAAACTTGTTCACTCCCCCCCCCTCAAAATCTAAAAACCGCCGAAACTTGTTCACTCCCTCCCCTCCAAATCTAAAAACCGCCTAAACTTGTTCACTCCCCCCCACTCAAAATCTAAAAACCGCCGAAACTTGTTCACGCCCCCCCCTCAAAATCTAAAATCCGCCTAAACTTGTTCACTCACCCCCTCAAAATCTAAAAACCGCCTAAACTTGTTACCTGCTTACCTGACGCGGTTTGGGCGAATTATCAGGGTCACGACTGGGCAAGTGGAAAATATATATATGGGTGTGGCTCACAATTAAACAGCTAGGGTTACGTGGGTTTTGATCCATGTTTCCACTTACCAAGGTTCCATTTCGGAGTTCCGGTTTTTTGAGCCACAGCCATATACCGCCTAAACTTGTTCACTCCCCCCCCTCCCCACTTTTGGGACGAGCAACCATGTCGTCGGCTTCGCGAAGCTGCAAAACGACGTCCGCTCTTTCGACTCTCGCGTGCCATCCGCCCCAACATTCAAGCGAGACGACTGGGGTCGACCCGTCTTCTCCAAAACCTCTGTTCATTGTGAAGTAAATGTTCTTATTATTTGTATTTTTTTGTATTTTTTATTTTATTTTTTTAAATGCATCTGAACAAGGAAAAGTTTCTGCGTACCCCATTTTTTCGGAGTCAGAAACAGAAGCAGAAAAGATCATCTTGTTGGAGAAGTGAAGGTTCCCTATCTCCGATCAACTCTTTCCAGGTCACCTCCCCTGTGCTAAGATTGCCGCGATCGGACGGCTTGTGCCGCGGCTGGTGCCGGCGCTGTTGAGCTTCTTCTGGGTATGCCAGGCTTTTCTGGCGTGTCCTTTTTGAGGCTGGCTGAAAGGGGGGGAATTCAATGTAAAAGACATGAGGCTACCATTTTGGCTTGGCCGTTTTTTTGAAGGGGAAAAAGAAAAGCACGACTTTGGAAATCGCAACATGTTGAGACAAACCAAACCCATCGCTTGGAACCCAACCTCACGTACCTAGCCACCCAAGAGACCTCGTTGCATAAAAGGTGAATTTTTATTTTGGGTTGCCAAAAGACTAAGAGCAGGCCAAACATGAACAATCAAAAGGTCTGGGTGAAGCACGACCAGAACAAAGATCCACAACAAATCCAAGGGGAAGATTCAACGAATAGACTTTGCGGCAGACCAAGTCTCTTGGTAAGGTTGGCAAGGCAGTTTGCCCTGCCTTTCCGTTGTGGAGGTGTATTCCGTGCGGCAAGTGAACCATTCTGTTGGGCCAAACCGTGCATGAAACGACTCCTTTGGTACCTCGGTAATTTTTTGGAGCTCCGACACAGTGGGTTGGGTGCCCATCCACACGCCGGGGATTTCCTACCCCAGCTTGTGCCCCCAGCTAAAAAGGTCAAAGGGTTGGGTTAAGTTAAGGGGAAAATGTTACAGAAAAACAGCTTGTTCAGGGTTTTGTGGGGCCATGTTCTGTGTTCTTGTAAACACTCTATAGTTAAAAAGGAAGCAGGCATCCATCACTGTCAACCACTTCCAAGACGTGCCCTTTGCTTTGCGGCATATGTCCTTCTTGCAGAAGGGGTTGGGCGCGAAAGCATGTACTTACTGGTAATCAGCCTTTTCTCCTTCAGAACCAACGATTGGCAACATCACATCACCCATTCAGAAAATGGACGCCGGTAGCCATCCCTCTGGACTCAACCAGCGCAGTGGGAACAGAACTTTTGTCTGGGTCGGACAGTCCGACACACGCACCTCAAGTCATGGCTGTAGACCCGGAGGCCCTTTCTGTGGATATTATCACAGCAGTTCATTCGAACCCATACCACCATGATTACTTTTTCACAAGGCACGACTACCTCAATGCGAGCAAGTAAAGGGCACAGCTTCCATTTGATTGAGCCCCCTGGAACAAACACATTTTTAGTAGTGATCGATTCCCTTTAACATGTGCCGTCTACCCTCACCCAACCGAAAAGCTCTGGATTCAAATCGCATGGGTATCAAAAAAAGTGGCCGCCACGTTCACCCGAGGCTTGAACCACAGCCATGCATCGAGTGGCGGGGCGTAAAAGCCCTCCCCAAGCAGTGAAACAGAGGTATGAGAGAGGAGCCGCAAGCGTCTCTCAGAGGGTGTCCTTTTCTTTCCCCTTTCAACAAATACGGCTTGCAGCCCGCGCGACAGGGCGGCTGCGTAAAGCCGCACGCTTTAGAGTTTGTGCCCACCGGGTGGATCGATGGTCGCTCGGCTCGCGGGACTTGTGCTTGAGCACCTCTTATTTGGTGGTTTCTTCGGGGCTCCAAAGGGAGGGGGACAAATAAAGACGGTGTTGAGGGTTCCCTCATTTTGTGCGGCACCTGCACTGGTTTGCTTGACGTGCGGTGGAATGGCCATTTCACTTGGTCATTTGTCCGCGCGTCGAGGCCCAGATAAGTGACACGTGAGCGCAAGCCATGGACATGCACATTCATAAGGTTGACCCCGTTGATTCATATGGGGGGGGGCCCTCGAAACGTGGTCTGAATCCCCGCTAAAATTCAGGGGGCCGTCTCTGATAGGAGACAGGGAGACAACGAAAAGGACAGAAGAGGAGGAGAACCAGAAAGAAAGAGAAAAAGCAGAAAAGAAAGGGAAAGGGAAAGAAAACCAGAAAGAGGGAGAGAAAGAAAGAAAGACAGGAAGGAAGAAAGAAAGAGAAAAACAAAGAAAAGGAAGAAAAGAATAATGAATAAACGAAAGAAAGAAAGAAAGAAAGACAAATAGAAAGAAAGAAAGGAAGGAAGGAAAGAAATAAAGAAACGAAAGAACAAACTAACCTAATCTAACCCAACAACGATTCAGAATTAAAGCTTTTCTCGGCTTGGCGGAAATCTTAGATCGCGCGAACCGATCGGCTTCAAAAGTCACTTGAGCTCAGACCCCGCCTGAGCGAGAGCGGTTGAGGATTTGTTGAGGCAGTTGCCAGGACCAAAAGATAAAATACTGGAACGACCCTTAAAGATGAATTATCTTTTAAGCTAAAGCCCCCAAAATAATGGTTGAACCTCTGATGATGGTAAAACCAAAACCTAAAGATAAAAACGAACTACCCTTAAAAGGGTTGCCTTAAAACTGTGGAGGGGGTCCCTTTTTTTTACAAAAGATTGAAAGTCCAATAATATGGTCTTGGCCTCTTAACCACACTTAGCCATGACAGGACTGGGCTGTTCCCTTTCGCTCCCCTGCTAAATGCTTTTAACTTGTGGTTCGGAGGAACCTACCACCTTTCACCGACTAAACACAACCATAAACCTGTCTGGAACCGGACGCCTGAGAACCACCAAGATGAGTAATTGTTGGGCCTTCACATACGCCCAAACACCATCCACAGAGCCAACTGTTCGCTTTTTGTCTCCTGGGATTTGGACCCAATCAACAAACAATTTGCTGGTTCCATAGGCAGGGAATGAGTTGGAATGACGCCAAGTCCCCTATGGTTTCCTTCAAACAAAAACCCCCTCCGGTTCATTCCCAAAACCCTGAATCTTTTACTGAGCACCAGCAAGGAAACGAATGGTCCTGTGTTTCCTGGGTTTCCCTGTTGAATTCACCAAACAGCCAAAATGACATGATGACTGGACACATATGGGTGGCTCGTCAGAAGGCGAAGAGGACCCCCTGTTTTGGTGGGGTTTAAAGGGAAACCAAAAGAAAAACCGAATCCATTTGGGGGATCCAACCTAAAAACTAAGACCCAAGCCATATGTGAACCCATGAAGTTACCCGAACTCGTCCCGACGAGTTCAATCCCAGTCGCTTGTGCCAAAGTTCCACCCATGAACCAGGTAACCAAGGGCTTGCCAGTTAAAAACCAAAAGGAAAGCGGCATTTCGTTGGATGGTGGTACATGGTTACAAGGTTTATATGGGCATTGATTTATTGAGGATACACTTTCGCGATGTCAAAATTCGGTGGGTCCCGATTCATACCCGCCGACCACTTGTGGCGCTGGTCCCCCATTAAAATCATAGCCATGTAAAACATGTACACTTACGTACCCTTCAAGCGATAGAACGGACAACCATCGCGGATTTGACTCAAAATGAGGAAGGCCGCAGCTAGGCAAACTCAAAAAGTACTCGCATCGGATTTGAGCAGAAAAAAGCGCTCGAATGCCAAAAGCAGTCCCGAGCACTTTCTTGTGTATCAACGGGTCCTCCAGGGGTTTCCCTTTCGTTCCCCCGGAAAACCAGTGACACAAGGGGCAGGCACCAAAAAAAGGAGCCACGCTTTCTTGGTTCGCAAAGCGAAGCCTCGGTCTTGCTGGGCCCCAATTTCCTGTTCGGATGTTCGCTCCAAATTAAGGGGCCCTTTGGTTAGATTCTTGGGTGTGTCCTTTTTTTCGAAATCGGACCCCCCAAAATGGCGGCGTTCCTGTCGGTTTCCCTTTCACACCACCAAAAAAGGGCGCCCTCAAACAAGGTAACACGGATACAAGGACCCTCTGTCAATTGTTCACGATCCCTGTGAAATACCACGCATTGCCGCTCATGCCTGAGCAGCGTTTGCGGCGAATGTGTTTCTTTTCAGCCGCCCCATTATTGCACTCCTTCTTGCATCCGCAAGCGATCATGCAGCATAACAAAGAAAACAAGCACCCCCCCCCCCAACCCTCGCAGGGCCGACCTGGGACAGGAGCCTGTTTGCCTTCGGGTAAACCATCACCCCCCCTGTGTTTGATGATTTACATGTTGATCTCCATGCAACCGTTGGTTCAAGGCCCCTCTTCTACTCTTTGTTGCCACTGTACATACCATACACGTACAGGCAGAGAAAAGGGATTACTTGCGGACCGCTTTACAGGTTATGCCCACAAGACAATCCTACCAGGGACATCCAGATACACTCCATTTACCATTGACAGAGTGATCATCGTGTGGAATAGATCCAGGCACCTAGAATAAACCATTACCACAAGGTACCTCACTCCCCCCCCCAACCCCCCCCCCCCCCAAACGGTCAATGCAGCAAAATGTGAAAACCTCCCCAGGGTCCGAAGATCCGTGTCACCTCAAACAAGCACACCTTCTTTTGTCTTTGGTCCATGAATTCCAACAAAACGAACCTTCAGGACACAAAAAAGCCGCACGCGCGCGCGCTCTCTGCGGAGCGCACGCTCTCAGGGAAGCGCACGAAATTTGGTTTTGAGTCAATTAAAAAAACAAAAACAGTAGGGATAGATCCCCCACGAACAGGGGGTTTAATAGGTGCAGGTGGTATTGGGACCCACCAGCCGCGAAACCCCATGAACGGAATCTCCGGAACCCTCCTTGATTGCTGCCCCAAACCCCTTATCGCCTATAGCGAGTAAGAAGAACAGACAATGCTTCCCAGGGCTCTCCCCTGTGTTTTACGTTGCCGTACAGTATATTAACCCCATTCCCTTTCGAGGAACGAAGCAGTGCTTGTGTGTGCGGAACATCCCGCTCTCTCAGGATCGACTAACCCATTCCCAATCTGGGCAGAGACCCCATAGCTTTCAGCTGTTGGAGAACTAAACAAACTCAAGCAAATGGCAGTGAGAAGATCGTTCATGGGCTTCGGGATTCTCAGCTACCCCGCGCTCCCCCAACTTCTCAAACAGAGAGCTGGTTTTACAACCCCTGGCTTTCCCCTTTAAAAACCACCAAACAGAGTACCCTCAAAAAATGGCGAGCCACCCAAATTCGATCCCATGCCGGACGACCCTTCTTAGAAATGTCTTGGACCCTTGTCGAATATTCCCACTTGTGGGGAGGGGCTTTTATTGGGCCCTCCACTTAACCATTCATTGGCTGGTCTCAAATCTTCACTGAATCGCAGTCTCAAGCATTAGCGAATCGGACCCCAAGTCGAGCTTCCAAACCATCCAAAAGCGAAAACTCTCACAAAAAAACGGCCTTGGGCCTCTTCCCTAACAAGTTTAACATGGAGGCCCTTAAAGCTCTCAAACCATCCAAACGATCGAAAAAATAATCTTCCCTAAAATGGCCCAAGAAAAGTTGGTTTCCTCTGAGTTTCCCTTCCAAACCATCCAAAAGCGAAAAATCCTCTCAAAAAAAAAGATGGCCTTGGGCATCTTCCCTAAAATGGCCCAAGAAAAGTTGGATTCCTCTGAGTTTCCCTTCCAAACCATCCAAAAGCGAAAAATCCTCTCAAAAAAAAAAGATGGCCCTGGGCATCTTCCCTAAAATGGCCCAAGAAAAGTTGGTTTCCTCTGAGTTTCCCTTCCAAACCATCCAAAAGCGAAAAATCCTCTCAAAAAAAAAGATGGCCTTGGGCATCTTCCCTAAAATGGCCCAAGAAAAGTTGGATTCCTCTGAGTTTCCCTTCCAAACCATCCAAAAGCGAAAAATCCTCTCAAAAAAAAAAGATGGCCCTGGGCATCTTCCCTAAAATGGCCCAAGAAAAGTTGGTTTCCTCTGAGTTTCCCTTCCAAACCATCCAAAAGCGAAAAATCCTCTCAAAAAAAAAAGATGGCCTTGGGCATCTTCCGAAAATGGCCCAAGAAAAGTTCCGGCCGTCGCCCGGGCCGCTTCCGCTTCGCGCCTTCGAGCTCCTCGCCCGCGTACTTCCCGAACCGCGCGCTGCCTCGAGAGAGCGAACCGCGCCGGGGTGCAGGTCAAGGTGCAAGACATCGAACCGGGGCAACTCAAAGCGAACCGGGGCCTTTGGGATTGGCAGTTTGGAGTTCGGGTTGCGCAGATTCCGTGGTTCCTTTTGGTGAAAACTTCAACTTCAACGACAATTGCCACTGCTAGTTGCTGGTCTGACATACCTTTCCCTGATTTTTCTGAAAGACTCCATTTAAAAAAAAAAACTGGCTTGCTCAGGGTGTGTGGTTCTGTTCATGGTTGAAATTTCGATGGAGGAACCAGTGATTCCATGTCCCTGAAACTTGCCACCCTATTCCACAGGAGAACCTCCAAAAACGGAAAGAAGTCTGGTTGCCAAATCGCTGGATGACATGGAATCAAGAAAAGGCGACCAAATCAAAAGGGGATTCATGCTGCTTAGGATCCGTGCTAAGCAAAGATGCTGCCGGTGTCTCACAATAGGACCCCAAAACTGATGGTTTCCTTTTGCTTCCCCTTCAAAACCAACCCAAACGGATTAGGAGTTCCAACCAAAAATATGGGTGACTGGATTTCCCCAAATCAAAAGTAGCAATTGACTGGTGGCGTCCATTGAAACTGCAACTTTTGGAGGCTCCAACAAGGGACACGGGGGAAACAAACTGAACAAAAAGGAGACACCCAGCTGCAAAGAGACACCTAGCTTCAACCCCCAAGACGGATTTTGGGTGACCAGAAGCTTAGATCAAGCCGGTCAGGTCGAGATCGGGCCCCGACGCAGGTGCAGCGCCAGATGCTGCGCCTGATCCAAAAATGTTCATCGCGCTTACCCTCCCACCGATTAACATGGAACAGGGAGAACCTGACAGGGAACGGGGTCCTAGACCATGTTCCTTTCAAAGGCACGGGAGGGTACGCGCCCCTGTTTCATCTTTCCCTGAAAAGCCATCAAGAGGGGATGGATACACCTCCCAACGATTCCATACGCAAGCTCCCCAACAAGGCGTCAATGGAACTTCTTCCATTTCGGTCGTCGGAGCTTGGCATCGTCTGGATGGATGGGTAATGTGGCCATTTGCTTAAGTGAACGGGGGGGGGAGAAAAAACGGATGAGAATGGTCGGTTTGCTCAAGCCTCTATGCCTCTATTTGCTGAGTTGTCTGGGAAAGCTATGTCCAGTAGTGAGAGCCTCCCTTTAAAACCAACAGGGGAAAATCAAACGCAAATGGAAGTCATGTGGCATTTTTCCGGAGATCTCTATTTGAGGTCAAAACCAGTGCACGAGCAGAGCTGTGGGCTTTCGCAGCACTCAACTGGAAGCCCTGCAGGTGGCGAAGCCTAACCCCCCCAAATATATGTATGTATATATCAAAATGAAAAAATGTGGGGGTTGATTAAAAGTTCTTTACATGGGATGACCATTGGGGAAACCACCAAAAGATGACTTTCACCACCAAATGGGGAAAGTTATCCGCATGGTCATTTGCGGAACCCCCAAGTGTGTGCCCTGGTTGCTTCCTCGTTAAACCAACCTAAAAAAGGGTAAACGTGGTGGCCAATCCTCCATGATCCCTAGTGGAAAACAACTGGAAAGGGGATCCTTTCACAAGGAAAGGATCTTGCGGATTGCCTCTGAAGGTCCCAGATTCTAGGCCCTTTGGTAAACATTTGGCTGGGGAGTCATGCCCTCTTTTGAGGTGGTTCCGACTCTTAAACATCAGCAAATGTGACCAAAATCCGAGCCCAAGTAAAGACCTAGTAGACACCGGATTCATACACCATGTGGAAGGCCTTACAAAATCAGGCGGCAAAAAAAGACTCACCGACGAATCACTTGAAAAAACAAAAAACAAAAAACGTGAAGGATCTCCATCTGAACCAGAGATCCCCAAGAAAGGATCTCATGTTGCGCCGAGAGAGATGCGTCCTAAGGGGCCACTGGGAACGTGCCATTCCGGGGGACCCCTTCCAAGGAAACCTTTTCCAACGCAAGTCGGGTAGGCGAAAACCAAAACGAGGCTTCGATGAAATAGTGAGGCGGTTGGGTCTCGGCTTCCCACAAAGTGGACACAGTGTCACGGCATGTCTCAAAACAGGGTTTGTACAGTAGTCCCTTCGTTTCTTCCGAAAACGCTAAAACGGGGGGGGGGGGGTCAAAAGGTGGCTTGCATCGCCTGCAAACTCGAGATCCCGGATCTGCCAATCGCTCTTTTGGAAAGGGCCCGACGAAAGTGAAGAGATCCTTCAAAGAGCTGGGTGATCAAGGGGTTTATCCCCACTTCTGTGATACAAGGGAATCCCCCCTTTATCGGACCCCTCCGGCAAGCTGCCCAACATCAACAGATAGCACGCAACTTCCACGGGAGGCATGTCTTTCAGAAAATCATTGGCTTTGCAAAATCTTGCATACACATCCGGGATGTTAGTATAATCGACCGGTGCAACCACTCCCGGTTGGACCGGTGCTCTGCGCTGCAAAAACTTCCAGCCAGCCAGAATTTGGAGCTGCAGAATGGACTGCAAAAAGTTCTCGCACCGCGTAAATTCGTCCATCCTGAAAGTGTACCTCGAACTCCGACTCCAAGTTGGCGCCACAAGTAGCCAAATGCCGAGACCGCAGCTCCGCCAGGTCTTGCTTCAGTCTATGAGCAGCTTGAGCTTGCTTCTCGACGAAGGGGGTTGGTCTTTGGGGGGCCCTTTTTGTTGTATCACAGAAGCGGTCATTTCCCACAGCCCTGTCAAAGAGAGTTTCCCCCAAAACAGAATGACATTCGACCATACTTGTGTTTGATCAGAAAGTGACCGAGCCAGCTCTGAAATGCCCTTCCTCCCACTAACACACCACCTGGCAGGGGGTCCCTTGAAGAGGAAATTGATCTTCCCACAAATGCATTTTGGGTGTCCGATTGCAGTGGTTGCCTTTTTGACTCGCCAGACTTGGACAACGAAAACGAAACAAACTCTTGGACACCTGGGGTGGTCTCAACATAAGTGTTATGACATTTCTGACATGTCTGACGGGTGTCTCTTTATTCCCGGCGACACCCAAACTGGATTTCGGCCCTTCTGGTTTCCCTTTCAACAACCAAAAAAAAAACGAGTTACCGAGCCTCTAAAAGGACGAGCCACCCATATTGTGTCTACCCCAAAAGAATCCAAATGGGTGTCTTTTTTGAGGGTCCCCCTTTGTGGTTTTAAATGAACCTGGATCGCCAGTTGCTATCGCTTTTTTCCATGCACTTTACCCCAAAAACTGATCGAAACAGTGACTGAGAAAAGCAATCGCAACTTGGCTATCTAGGAAGTGACAAATTGTGGGTTCTATTTTCTGTAGTACAAGAACAATCATTATTAAACAAGCAATCAAATGATTTATCCTTAAAACCAAACAATAATAATGATCACAATAAGCGGTCCGAATCCTAAAAAAACGGATCGATCCGAGCCAGCCAGTTGGGCCCAGACCTCGGGCCCCCGCCTCGCCCTCACTGAGAACGCCGTTGTGGCCTAAGGTGTCCCATCGCTCCGGGCTTTTGTACCCCCCACTCCAAATACCTGCTTTTTCCAGGGTAGTTTTGGGGAAAACCCGGTCTTCCGAGCTCCAAATACCCGCTTTTTCCCGGGTATTTTTGGTCGGAAAACCGAGGGTTTTCCGAGGTAGAATGCCTCCTTTTTAGGTAGAGGGTCGACATCATACCCTCAAAGAAGCAGGAGTTTGGAGTAGGGGGTAGGTATGGCGATTTGGCCGTTGTTTCCAAAAGGTCCTCTTGGGCCGATTTGACACCGATTCGCAACATCTTTTGACTTCCGCGTTTGGCTTATGGGTCTGCGGAACCTGAGTAACTCGCCTCGTATACCTGCCACATTTGGATTCCCACGCCACTGAACACCAGCAACATACAGCCCGGCTTTCCAGTTCCATGGCCTACTGGGTCCAAAGCGACATACGAACCACCATAGGCTGATTCTTCCTTCACAACCTTGGTATGGTAGCAAACAACTTTATTGTTTGCAGCCCCCAACTGACCAAAACACGTGAAGTCAGCAGTCTTCGTTGCCTTGCCACGTCCTTGAGTGTAGGTTGACGTGTGGTTGTCTCAACTCAATATTGCGGTCTTCCTGTTGGGTTCCCGTTAAAGCCACCGAAAAAGGGGATACCCCAAAACATTTCAGACCCACTTGTACGTGTCCCCATCCCACAAAAGCGAGGAACACGGGCGCCGCAAACATCGGGGGCCCGGGCCACAGTTCAGGCAGGCCTCGGCTGTTTGGAATTGGACGGCTTCGCACCGGGGAAAAGGACAGTTGCAACATGGAGGGTGATCAACCTCCATTTGCTTAAGTCCCCAGGAGAAAGAGACATATTTTCCAGTAGTGACAGATTCCCTTTAAAACCAACAGGGGGAAATAAAAACATATTTTTAACCAAATGGAAGTCAATATTCTTGACCAAATGACCATGGGTAACTTTTCCCATATCTAAAACTGGGTTTGCAAAAAAAAAAGAAGAAGAGGCACTCTCCAAGCAGTTGGTATCCTTTTGGTTTCCCTTTTTAAGCCAAACATGGCGCCCTAACAACAAGGGACACCAGTTGGGGGCTTCTAAACATGGTAACCGTTGCCATGTTGGGTGGGGCGGGCCTTTCGCGCATGTAGCCTCAGAAAGAACCAACATGGGCGAAAAAAACCCAAAAATGGGCGAGGGGGGACCTAAGAGTACCCTCCTCAACAATGAAACCTGAGAGCGGGGTCCTGGAAGACCAATTTCCTGGAGAGACGGTTTCTCTGATCAGTTCCGTGCGGGGCTTGATCAAAAGGTCCTGTATCAGGGAATGACAATTGGTTGGAAACCCTGTAAAAGATTTGATACTTCACCAATATCAGCCAAGGCAATACCCCTTATAGTTGCATCTGTCCATGTCTCTAGAATCAATAACTGGGAGTTGCAACTTGTAAATGGTGGTTTCCAACTTTATGTTTGGTCTTGAAAAAGCCACATGTTTCAAACAGTCGCAACATGGAGATCTTTTTTACGGAGCCCTGACCAGTATTCCCCCATATCCCGTTCAAAGGATTCCACCCCACCCCCCCCGCACCGCTCCGGTGTTCCAAAACACGCCCGAGAGAAGCCGCCGCTGTTCGAATCGGGGCCCCCTCAACAAAGTGTACCCCAAAAGGCGCCAGGACCTGGGACTTGGTGAAAAATGTGCTGTGGACAACATGCTGCACCAGTTGATACTGTGGATGGATGGTTGCGAAATCCAGAAATCCAGAAATCGCACCACCTCAGAAGCAACCTGGGATGGTCTGATTCCCAACGTAAATACCAACAGTTACAGTGGTTTCAACCTTGGTTTCTTGGGTGGTGCGAAATGGATTTCGAGGACCCATCCACAGTAGGTGGTATCTCGATTCCATTTGTAGGGCTTCGTTTTTATGTTGACCCCACATTAAGCAGAACCCCTGTTTATTAATAGGGGGGTGGGGGCCCCTCCAAAAGTGGTCTGATTGCCCACTAAACCCAGGGACACCTCCATAGTAATTCATAAACTGGGGTTGATTAATATGGGGTCAACATTCGAGAGCGGTGCAGGATTTCGGAATCAGGCTAAACAACGACGGCTCAGGTAGGCAACGAGCCCTCCCCCCTTTTTTTGGCCCCAGAACAAACCACTGAAGGCACATTCGGACCCCCTCCCTGTCAAAAGCCCCGCCTTTTGCAGTCGGTCTTTCCAGCTCACGAGACTCGAGGGCTTCTTGGCGCGCAAGTTGACTCAAAAAAACCCACCTCAGTTTTTTGATCCTCGAAAATCTGTCCGCTTGAACATCCAAGCAAACAGGTTCAAACAACGATTGCTTCACTTTCCAACCCTTGGTATGGTGCAAGAATCTGACTGTTGTTTGCAGCCCCTCCCCCAAAGAACAAAACACAGAACCAAAAAACCTAAAAACATGCCAAACACAGTGAAGTTAACCAGCCTTCTTTGGGTTTCCCTACGGGACCCAGGGTTGGTGTCAAACAAAGCGTGCCCACGGCGTCCCCAAATAGGTCGACAAGGGAAACAAGCAAAACTTGCAAAAAACTTTTGACCTGTCACAAAAAGAGATCCACTAACAGGGATCCTTACATGAAAAACAAAAGCAGGATCCACCAAACAAGGTTCTTCAAACAAGGAGAGGACAACAAACAGTCCCCGGAGGGAAACGATGCGCAAGCCGAAGGCCACAAACGAAAGAGAGCCCCACATCCATTTCTGTTTTCCCTAGAAAAGAAAGCAAGACAAGCCACAAAACAAAGTCCCCCCCCCCAAAAAAACAAAAACACAAAAACAAAACTTGTTTTCCCAGAAAGAAAAAAGATACCCCCAAAAAAAAGAAGAAAGAAGGAAACAATTTGTTTTTTAGAAAGAAAGCAAGAGAAACCACAACATCCATTCCCCAACAATGGGGAACATCCAGGTGGGAGCTCGCCACCTTTCCGGGCGACCCGGACGACGTAGCCCGCTACCCCGCGGTCCAGGCTCGGCTTGGGCGCGGTTTTGGGGCCTGCGGCTTCGCGGTCGAAGCGGGTCCGATGTTTTGCGGCAAAATGGGTGTGTGCTCTTTTCTGGATTTGGTTGTCCTCAGATCCCCTGCCAACAGTCTAACCTTTAGCGGGTCAAAAATCCCGTTGTTTTTCTTCTTTATTTTTCTCCGACTTGGCTGTCCGTTTTCAGATCCGCTGCAAAAAGTGAATAACATGTAGTGGGTTAAATGGAAATCGCCACTAAGCACTAAAAAAACATAAGTTGCTGCTTTTTTTTCCAGACCTTAGAACATAGGTGACCTTTTGGAAATATTGATAGCCCTAGTAAATAGAGAATAACACCAATCTAAACCAGTGGAACCCGTGTTCTAACCAAGCTGACCCGAAAAGGACACCTATGTTTTAGAAAAACACCTCCGTCAGCAAGAAAACCACGCTGCACCATTAGCTTCAGTCCGGACACGCATATTTCGAGTAGTGATAGATTATCTTCAACTACAGAAAGAAGAACACACGTTCTTAAGCAAATTGAAGAATTTGTTAGCCTTTGGACCCACTGCTTTAGGAACAATGGTCCTTTTGATATGTATAATATACACATATATGTACACCCATTTTGTGGTTCCTGTGTTTTAGGGTGCCCTTGGGGGTTTCAAGGGTAGCCAAAGGGAAATCAATCATTTTGGGGTCTCCGTATTTTGACACTTACCCAAGTGCCGTAAGAAAATCCTGGGACCTGAAATCGGCCTTTTTTGAGGTCTAAACCTTTTATGCAGATCCTATGGAGGGTCCAATGATGGTGGTAAAATACACAACTCCTTCTGGGCAAATGGGTGCGAGGTGTAGCTAGCTTCTCTTCTAGGTCCTCTAGTGGAGAGGTTCGAATAAGTTGGTACCCACTTGTTTTTCTTTGTTTTTCCTTTCTTTTTTCGGTCGTCGATTTATAGGGGAACCCTCCCCCAAAAAAGAAACGGTAAAGGGCGCCTAGCTGGGGGACCCAGTCTTGAAAAAAAGCAAATTTGTTTAGTCGTGGCCCTTGGGGAACTAATGTTGACCCCCAGATCCAAGCAGAGCCCGTCCTTCCAACAGGGGGCGTTCTCTCCAAAAATGTTTTTCAGGGGACACCCCCACCCCAGAAACCCCAGACACCCCAGACACCCCAGACACCCCAGAAACCACAGACACCCTAGACACCCCATCTCTCAAATTCAACCAGTGGGTCTACGAGGTTCCAAGTTCTTCGACTGCCATCTGGCGAGAGCGCGGGCCCGCGCCTTCCTCGGAATCGTCGCTGGCGGCCTGGAGTGCAGATGTTCTAAATGGGAGTCTCTCAAAATCGGAGAACCCGTTTTGGATGGTTTTGATGGGACACCAAAGGCAAACCAACCTCCTGAAAAGGTCCTGAATTTCGAGAAAACACCCAAATAGTTCAAGTAGGAAACCGGTTGGAAGCCCGGAAAAATTTCCCCGTTTGTGGCCGGTTTACTTGCAAGGAGTTTTCTCTGCCAGTAAATCAGCCACAAAACCTGACAAACCCACCCGATGCAGCGTGAACTGCATGGGGTCACTCCCCCCGCATTCCGGGGCTATTTCCCTCTTTGGGGTGGGTGTCCATTTCATTGTCAGGGACAAAACTTCCATCATCCCCCACCTCCCCCTCCCCGTTGGTTCCTCCCACGGCAAGTCTGTTAGCTTGGATCTTGGATGGCTGTCCTCAGATCCCCCGCTAAAAGTTCTACTTTTGGCGGGTTAAATGGAAATCCCAATAAACACTAAAAAACTAAAAGGCTAAGGAACTGGATGGCTGGGAGCCACCAAGCCAGCAGGCCCTCCGATTGCTGCACACACGTCTTGGTGAAACGCAGTCGCTAAGCGAAAGCCGCCCAGGGGAATTGCCTCGTTTGTCTTCCCACCGTGGCTAGCTTCCCGCCAGTTGGTGGTTTGGAGCCCGGTGCTTTGGACGGGTGACCTTCCGGGAGTGGCTTTCCATCTATCATTTGTCCACCGCAAAAGGGTCCAACTCCCCAAAACACCAATCCAAACGAGCAATATCCACCAGAAAAAGGGTTCGACGCCCCAAAGCAGCCATCCAAACCACCAATTAGCGGTTGCCTGACTTAGTCACTTGGGTCATGCGACGCACCTGCAATCAAGAATCCAAGGGGAAAGAAATCGCACGTAACAACAACCAGTGGTTCAAATCCAACTCCAAACAAATCCAAGCAACAAAGGGGTTACCTGACTTGACCAACCCACCAAACAAGAAGACAACACATGAGTCATAATCAAAACCCGGCATAAAAATTGGTGAACCCAGAACCATGCTTCAAGAAAACAGAAGGCGCTCCCCGCGCATATGTATGGTTGGGATGGTGCCTTGCTAACCTAACCATCTACCCGAATCGGTTTTGATTGTGGCTCAGTTTGGCCTGCTCTCGATTGTCCAAAGGACCCAGAAGAAATGCTCACCATTTCTGGGCTGTCCTCAGATCCCCCGCTAAAGGATTGACTTTTTGTGGCTCACATCGCCATTTTTTTTCCGCGGGTGCTGAACCACTGCGACGACGCTTCACTCCACGCTCCACGCCTCCGGAGGCGAGCTGACACTCTGCCTCGCGACTCGCGGCGGCCAAAAAAAAAAGGGAGTCGAAGTGCCCCAGGCGGGTTGCTCAAGCCTCGATGTTTGCAGAAGTTGTCTGCGAAACTATGTCCAATAGAAAATGGAGTCCCTTTAGAACCAAGGGCAAAAGATATTCTTAAACAAAAAGGGAACAAAGGGGGCTCCAGTCGTCTCCAAAGCGTCACTTCCCTTGCAAAGGAGTTCTAGGAATTGGCGCTTTGGGTGGGATCTGTTTCCTGTTGTTTTCCCTTTCAAGCCTTATATAAATGCAGGTACGCCCATATTGGCCCGATTGACGCCACCACGGAGGTGATGACTCTAAACCTGCGAGCCCCAAACATCAAGCCCTCTGGGGAAGTGAGGCGTGTGTCACCAAATGAAACACCATCAAGTGGCCCAAAGAAACGCTTCTTGAGGGCGACTTCCTACCAAAATCGAGCTGATGAAGAGTTGGTGTTTGGCAATGAACATGTTCAACCGAAAGGTTGCTTGGGTGTTCAACCCACCTCAGGTAAGTAGGTCATAATCATTGCAACGGAGCTCCCAGTTATCGCAGCCATAACCATGGTCATGACCTACTTAGTTCTCTGAGGGTTGAATATCCGGGTAAGGGTTGATGAATGTGGTCGAAACCAGCAACGAACCTCATAAACCCAGCGAGCGGCTCTCGCAGCAAAAAGCAACCTTTTGGAAGGGTCTTGTTTGAGGCTTCTTGAAGGGAAACCACACGAGAAAAACTCAACACCCGTCTTTTTTTTGGGGTGGGCGGGGGTCCCATACTTGGACGTGAGACTCGGAAAATCCTAGAGATTCCACCCAATCTACGTTCCGACCGATCTACACCGGGTTCCAAAGTTTCGCTGGGGACAAATTGCTCCCACCGAACCCTAAATGTGTTTTCACTTCTTGCCGGAGAGGGCCAAAGGAAGCCCAAAAAGGCATAATGTTCACCCCAGATTAATCAACCCCAGTTTAGTAATAGGGGCTCAAAGGGGGTGTCCCTGGGTTTGTTGGGTAACCGTCACTTGGCAGGGCCCAATGCCTTTTCTAAGAGGACGGGCTCTATTGAGATCCGGGGTCAGCATTATGGTTGAGAAAAGGTAAGGGATCTACCATGCGAGACAACAATCCGAATGTTTTGGTTTGCCTGTCTGAGAAACCTACAAACACATTTGGGTTGTTGCCTCTCATGGTAGACTACTAGCAATGTTCCCCAAACATCCTACCCAGCTTTTTGTAGTGGACTTTGGTCTAGGTCCTCCAGTAGAGAGGTTAGAATAAGGGTACCCCTTTTTCTGTAATCTATTTTAGTAGGGGAACCCTCCCCGCAAAAACGGGTAAAAGGGCACCTAGTGGTGGTTGTGCTTCGGAAGTTCGTCGTGGTGTAGACCCTTTCAGACCTGTGACATCGGCGCTTTCAGACCTGCGACATCGTTGCATTCCGACCAGCCCCCGTCGCGCCTCACATCGCCGCCTTGCAAGGAGCTCGAACGTTCTTCACTGGTTTGCCCAGGAATACTGTGGATGGACAAAATCGTGCACCACCCAAGACACCATGGGAAACCATGTTTGTTGGTATTTAAGGGGGATCATATCATTCTGGGGTTTCTTAGGTGGTGCAGGATTTCGTCCATCCACAGTAGGGAGGAAGAGGACATGATTTTCAAACACCTATTCAAACAGGTTCAATCTATTTTGGGTGAAACATGAACTTATATAGATTTGCCTGCAATCTTGATTGCTGCTGACCCGGGTTCTCAAGGGTGCGATTTCTGGATGTCGCAACCATGCAGGGTATGTCCCACATTTCGAGAACTCAAATGTGGTGTACCAAAGCGAGGGGCCTCATGGCTGACTGAACCCAACTAGCAGGTTGATGACTCAATGACAATAGTAAACGTAGGTCTTGAGATCCCACCCAGTGCCGCAATTTTCCTCTTGGTGTTTGAAGGGTGGTTCTTTTGGTTCCTACTAGACAGGGACATGGAATCGCTCGGCCAAATTTGCGTGTGTCTCCAACTGTCGGAGCAGAGATACCCCGACAACAAGACATGGAAGGATGGACCCAAGCAGCGCGTTCGGGTGCGTGCGGCCCCGCCTTCTGTTCGCTCCTCACCTGCAGCACAACGAGAGGCTCCGGGAATCGGGGCCGGGAGTCCCAGGGGCCCCCAAATTGATGGTTTTCCTTTCTGCCTCCCTGCAACAGAAAAGAGGTACCCTCAAGACACCCCCACATGTCCTCTTTAACATCTGGCAGCCACGAGTGAGGCATCACCCCACAGCATCTTCCCCTAGCAGGAGAAACACAAGAAGGCCTTTCCATTCCGGGTCCTTTAGGCAGGTAAGGTACTTGGACGTTCAATTGGAATTGTTCCCGCATAGTTGTAACCTTGGTACCCTGTGGATTGAACATCCAAATACGGGGCCACGTTCCTTTGTAACACCAACATTGTAGGTCGTGTATGGCTTTTGGGAAGTTGTGGACACCAGCATCGTTCTCTGGGCATGCTTCTTCACTTGTCAACCATGACATTTCCGCATTAAGAAGCCCACAGCGTTTCTTCTAGTTGCTTGATTTAAAGGGAAGCATGCTTACACGGTCCTATGACGTAGTTTGGTGTAGTGCTGCCCCACAACCCTCACAACCCTAATCCAAAAGGTGAACCTGTTGGAACCTCGACTAAAGATAGACCAATTCAAGGATAGGTTGGCTTTGGGCAAGTATGGTACTCTGCCCACCCAAACCAATCATGAAAACATTGCATCGAGATTGGCCCCCTCAACAAACAGAACGCGGGCAGAGACGGTCACGAAAGCATGGCATGCGAATCTGCAAACCAATCTGTCAAACGAGAGACCCGGCCAACCCTCGCAACGCCCCCAGCCGTTGCGGCCTTGTTTGGCGTCATTTCCCTTCAATCACAACCTTCAAAACGGTGGTTTCCCTGTGGTTTCCCTTTAAGAACCCACCAGAAAGGGGTGCCACCAAAACAAAGACACACACCCGGTCTCCCGGCCTGGCGAACGTGTCCCTTCTGGGGCAACTTAGCAGGGCCCGGGTTACCTTCGATAGACTCGAAACCGTCTTTCGCAAGTTCTTCACAGGGATCCTTTCACAGGGATCAAACTGGGAATCCCCGACCATAAGGGGGAGGGGTGTGGGGGAGGTGAAGGAGGTAGGGGAGGTGGATGTGCATTCTACACCTGACCATTGCCTTGTCAATGCTGGTTTCCAACTTTATCCTGGTGTTGAAAAAGCAACATGTTTCAACTGGTCGCAAAGCGGAGATCTTTCAAGGAGCCCTGCTTCAGCTTGACTGCAACTTGAAATTCTGCGCGGTGCCCTCGCCACGCAGCCCCCCGAAGCTACAAATTGAACTCAAGCTTGCCTCTGATCTGGGTGGTTAATTTGTGAGGGCACCCACTTGTTGCTGGCGTTTTGTTTTTTTCGGGAAACCAACAGAGAGCCCGCCATTTTGGCCGGAAATGGCTGGGAAGAACCAGCATGTACTTTGGTTTCTGCGCGCTTGGTGCACATATTGTCCACGGCCAACCAAACAATCAAGGCGAAACACGCCATCAAAGCAGACAACACAGAGCAACACAAAGCAAGCAGACACACCAACAAAACAAACAAATAAAAAACAAACGAATCAAAACAAAAACAAAGACACACAAACAAACAAAAACAAACGAACACACGCACACACACAAACACAAACAAACAAACAAACAAACAACCAACCAACCAAACAAACAAAACGCGCACACACACACACAAAACACCAGAAAATAAATAAAAAGCCAATTGGCCAGTCAGTCAACCAAGAGGAGGATGCCCTAGCTCCCTCTTTTGCACCCGCCCAAACGTCGAGCAATTCCATGGCCTCCGCCCATGTCCACGCACTTGAAGAAGCGGTAGATGGTGGTGAGGAAGCTCTCCACCTGTCCGGGAAACGATCGCGGACACGTGGGCAAACGACCAAAATGCGCAAACGACAAATGGCTGTGGCTCAAAAAACCGGTACCCAAAATGGAAGCCTGGTAAGTGGAAACATGGACCAAAACCTGCGTAACCCCCCTGGTTTAATTTTGAGCCACGGCCAAATGCAGACACACACACACACACAAATGGGCGTGTCCTCGTGTTTTGTGCCTGGTGCCCCTTTTTGGGGCACCGGGTTCTCGGGAGAAAACCAAAAAAAGGTCAAAAAAAAATGCGCACACACACAACGGGGGTTCAATTCTTCAAACCCTCACCTGGCAATGGCTCAAAAACCATATCCCACCAAAACGGCACCAAACGGGTACTAGATCCTCCAGTCGAGAGGTTAGATGAAGTTGGTACCCGATATTTGTTTTATTATTTTTGTTCGGTTTAGTAAGGGAGCCCTCCCTACCAAAGAAGAAACGGTAAAAGGGCCCCTAGCTGGGGACCTAGCACACCAATGGGCGTGACTGTTGTCTTCTGCCTGGCGCCCCTTTTTGGGGACGAGGCCCCTTTAAGGCCTCCGAAACCCATGGGTTTCAAGCGGGGCGAGGAAATTGGCCGCCTCCTTTTGGTTGGTAAAGGGAAGCCGAGTCCAGGACATCACTACTTCAGAAAAGCCAAGTCTCCTGACTTGGAGTCCATTCTTTCAGGATCTCGCCATGGGGTGATTTTTTTTAATGAGCATGGCGCTTGCAAAGAAATTCCGGGACCCTTCTCCCTGGAAGGGCGCAAGTGAACTATGACCGTGTATTTCGTTGACATCCTTGGCCATTCCCGTCGCACAATGGTTCTAAAACAGGGATCCTTACATGAAAAACACCTGAACATTGCAACTTGTAAATGGTGGTTTCCAACTTTATTTTGGAGTTGAAAAAGCCATGTTTTAAAATGGGCAAAATGTATCTTTTAAGGGGCCCTGTAAAAGGACCATACTGTTGGACGAAATCCTGCGGTCGGTCTGGACGAAATCTTCTTGGGATAAACCGCCCGACTCGAGCAAAGTGCCCCAGAAGAAGTCGGGCGTTCTCTTGAGGCTGCCTCAAAATCGGGCCAAGCTGCTGCTTTTGCAGTCGCTGTTACTGGGTGTCGGGTCGAAGTGCATGAAAAAGAAAACAGCCACTGGCGATCCAGTTGGACCCATTCCACGCTGCGCCCCATCTTCGCCAAAAAACGACACCTTTCGGTCTCCCGTGAAAACCAACCAAATAGGTATTTTCCCTAAGGAGGAACGGACCCGTTCCACGCTTCGCTCCGTTCTCAAGAAAAAAATCCAAGCGCCTCCCGGAGGTGTTGCAGCACCGCGCCGCTCAGGGGGCACTCGTTCTGCGCCACCGAGGCCTCCTGACGAAGTTTTTTTGAAGCTCGCGCGCGCGAACGTTTCGAACGGGCAGGAAGGAAGTGGGGGTGGCTCTGGTTGAGGGAACGGGGGCCCCAAAAAAATAGAAAAAGTAGCCCTTCCTTACAAAACCCATGGAGGGTAAGGTGATGATATCTTGCACTTCCGGAGACCTGCCAAAAAGCGTCGAGACTTTTTGGTCGCCACTAAAATGGTCCAAACCAAATAAATGAAAGTCCATGAGCTCATGGCGTGAGAAAGTAAGTGGTTTCCCTTCCTGAAACAAGCACGCCCAGTGGACTTCCCAACAAAGGAAAGTACCCCCAAAACTCACTTTCTGAGTGGACTTGCCAAAAACAAGTCCCAAGACTTGTTGTTTGCCACTAAAATGGTCCAAGCCCAAAAAAGTTTAAAGTCCATGAATCAGGGAGTGAGAAAATGCGCCTCAAAAGGACACGCCCCAGTGGACTTCCCAAACCTTGGCACAGCACAAAAAGACGCAAACAAAACGCACATAAGAGTGAATCGGACTTCTGGGGGGTGGGAGCAAATGGGGAATGAAGTGGGTGCCTCTTGTGGAAGGGGGCATTTAGTGGGGAGGTGGGAGAGAATGGGGAAATCAACCAATAGGATCCGGATGTTGAACCCAAGTCAAGTAAGCGGCAAAGGGGCTGGCTGGCATGAGTGCGCTTGCCGAGCTCGTTGCTCTCGCTCGTCGTCAGAATCAAAACCCGGTATTAAAATGGTCGTAATCCCAGAACCATGCTTCAAGAAATAAGAAGGCGGATACCCGCAGCAATTTATGGCAAGGGGATTGTCCCTTACTAACCTAACCATCTATCCGTGTTTTGAGCACGTGGCTCATTTGGGTGCTACAATTGGTGTTAGGAAGAGGTCACCTGGATCCAAACCTGGTTTGTGGCTCATCCAAAGCTTCCAGGTTTTGATTGTGGCTCATCTCAAGCTCGCACTCGTGAAGCTCTGGGAGGAGCATGATCCCATCATCGCCTTCTCCCGCTGAAACTTGGCCACGCCCGCACTGTGTCCAGCCCAGAAGGAGTTATAGAATAGTGTTGAGGAGGTCGCCTCCTCATTCTCAGAGTTCTTGAGCTGGATTTTGGGGCAGTCGTTGCGCAAGGCAAGGCCGGCATCGGCCGGCAACTAGAGGGCAACAGTAGGAGAGGCAACATGCCTATCTTCGACCACCCACCTGCTCAGGGTTCCCTATATTTCCAACCAAGAAACATGACACCTAGACGGTGTGACCGTGCGTGGGTCTTTTAGGAATCGGACCCCAAACAATTCTGTTTTTCCTCTTAGTTTCCCTTCGAAACTACCGAAAAAGGGCAACAAAGACGAGCCGCCCATGTTGACGCTGGATAGTTTTTGGCCTTGCAGATCGATTTCGGGGGATGAACCAGGGTGCTTCCACAGATGGGGCGAATCACACCCGGAAGGTGGGGCCAAATCGACGAAGCCCAACGGAAATTTCACATCACGTAAAAACTTAGAGGTGTACACCTGGTCGCTACTAATTTGTAGTAACTTGAACAGGGTTGCCCCAAACTTGCAAAAAAGATAGGCCTCATTATGTTGGCCTCATGATGTCACCATGATCAAAGTCAGTTTGTAAGTGGTGGGTTAAAGGGAAACACCCCCCCATTTTGTGACTTTGATAACCACCAGAAACCGTCAAAATAATGACCCCAAAGGACAATGTTGACCAGGATTAATAAACCCGTCCCATTATTGGGGTGTTTTCCCTCCAAAAGTGGTCTGAATCTAACCACTAAAAGGAATTGGACACCCCCCAATCAAAATCAACCAGGGGTTCTGCTTAATCCGGGGTTAATCGCCAATGTTTGAGACAGCCACAGGGTGATGTACAGTCCACGAGCGCTGCTGCACTTGAGGTGTACTTCCACCAGCAGGGAGCGTTGATCTCCAAAATCTGCGCAGAGCGAACTGCTGGAAAGTCAAGACTGCACGGGGCAGCACGGCATCCAAACACCACGCACACTGAGCCTCCACTGTAGCCAAGTCCGTCCCCGAGCCGGGATTCATACACCAACTCGAGGAAAAGAAGCGGCCAGGCAGCGAGGGATGCGCCAAGGAACAGAGCCAATCTCCAACGCGGAGCTCGGCGCACGCCATGACGTGCTTGCCAAACGGAGCCCGGGAGAAAGCCGCGCAGCTGCCACGCAGCCGAGGAGCAAGCAAACCGGAAGAAGTCGCACCTGCTCGGAGAATGGCCATTGAGGCGACGCAGAAGGAAGATCGTGACGCCATCCAAGCCGAGAGAGTTTCCGCTCTTAGTCTCCCTCTTTTCCGCTCTTCGCGTCTCATTTTCCGTTCTTAGTTAGCGCACTTAAGTAGCCGAGGACAAAGCCAAGAAGACAACCCCCGCGAACGCCAAGTGCAGCCCATCAACTGCCGAGTTCCTAGGGCAACGAGGAGGTACTGCGCACGTCGCGGATGGACGTGGCGTAAGCATCACCTAGGCATCTCGGCCCTGCCAGTTGCCTCACGGAGTAGGAGCAAATGAGTAGAGAGGTTAGAATAAGGGTACCAACTTTTTCCAGGACGTCTTTTTTAGTAGGGGAACCCTCCCCCAAAAAAGGGGTAAAAGGGCACCTAGCTGGGGGACCCAGACTCACCACAACAAAAGGGAAGCCTCCAAAAAACCGGCGAGCCACCCGGGAACTCGACCCGCGACTCTCGCCCAAGCGAACTTTTCGCCCAACACGGTCCAGGTTCCGCTGCAGCACGGTCATGTACTGCCGGAAGTCCCTGCGCGCCTGTCGGCTTGTGGAAGTCTAGGGCTACCTTCTTAGGGGTATCCTCAGAAGCTGAAAGAGCCTAGCCTCAAAAGAAAGAGAGACACCTCTAGGGCTACCTTCCATGTCCGTTCTTTCCAGGAGTCCGAATCTTTCTAGAAAACCTCCAGAAACCCCGGGAAAATGGCTGGTTGTTGAAAAGGACAACCACCATTTTGGAGGGTCCAACCACCCAAATGGAACCTTGCAACAACGACCCCTCCGCAAAAACTGAATCACTTTTCGTGGGCCTCAAAAAATTCCCACTTCCCCTAAGAAGTTGTTTCTCGTCCAAAGATCCGTTACCCAAGAGCAATCAATCAAGGAACCAATTTCCGGGAAACCTCGGTTGCTTTCTGCTCCCCTGCTAAAGGTTTAGTTTTTAGTGGTTTGTGGAAACCCAACACCTCTATGTGCTTAAGTCTCCGGAATAAACATATTTCCAGTAGTGATAGATTCCCTTTAAAATCAACAGAGAAAATACCAAAGAATCTTAACCAAATGGAAGAAAACCCACTGGGCTCTCCGCTGGGCGTCCCGGGCTTTTGCCACGCCAAAGCGCGCCATCTGGCGGTGGTAGTCCGCCAGCCTGCGGATTCCGAGAGGTGGCCGTCTTCGTGAAGAAAAACCCACGGTTGGCCCTCGCTCATTCCCCTCATCCAAAATTCACAGAAAACCAAATGAGTCATAATCAAAACCCGGTATTAAAATGGTCGCAATCCCATCAAGAAATAAGAAGGCGGATATCCGCAGCTATTTGTGGTTGGAATTGTCCCTTACTAACCTTCATCTACCCGGGTTTTGATTGTGGCTCAAATGAAGAGAGGGGAATGAAGGAAGAGTGTGAATCCTGTTTCCTTTCATATCCAGCATCTCCTCCTTATCCTTCCTGCCTCCTTTCGTATCATCTCCTCGTATTCAGCTTCCCTCTGATCGGTGGTTTGGATTGGTGGTTTGGAGGTTGGGGGGTGGTTTACCATTTACCCTCTTCAAGAACCAGTGGCTCAAACCCCAGTTCTCACCGAATAAGGGCAATGTGGCATATGTCAAGCAGTTCTATGGCCCATCTTTCTATGTCCCGCGTCGTTCAGTCAGATCCCTGCTAACAGTGAATAACTGTTAGTGGTTTACATTCGGAAACTACCACTAAACCAACTACCAGCCTCTAAAAAGCTAAGAAAAACTCACCGGACGGCTGAGCCACCAAGGAAAAAAGCCGTCCCTTTCGGCCAAAAACAAAAAAGGCGACACGCCTGGCTGAGCCACCAAGGAAAAAGCCCGTCCCTTCCGGCCAAAAAAAAAAGGCGACACGCCTGGCTGAGCCACCAAATAAAAAGCCCGTCCCTTCCGGCCAAAAAAAAAGGCGACACGCCTGGCTGAGCCACCAAGCAAAAAGCTCGTCCCTTCCGGCCAAAAAAAAAAGGCGGGCTGAGCCACCAAGGAAAAAGCCCGTCCCTTCAGGAAAACGCCCGTCCCTTCCCGCCCCCCCCCCCCCAAAAAAAAAAAGGCGACACGCCTGGCTGAGCCACCAAGGAAAAAGCCCGTCCCTTCCCGCCCAAAAAATTAAACAAAAAACAAAAAAGGCGACACGCCTGGCTGAGCCACCAAGGAAAAAGCCCGTCCCTTCCCGCCCAAAAAAATAAAACAAAAAAGGCGACACGCCTGGCTGAGCCACCAAGGAAAAAGCCCGTCCCTTCCCGCCCAAAAAAATAAAACAAAAACAAAAAAGGTGACACGCCTGGCTGAGCCACCAAGGAAAAAGCCCGTCCCTTCCCGCCCAAAACATTAAACAAAAAACAACAAGGCGACACGCCTACCTGAGGCACCAAGGAAAAAGCCCCCGCCAAAAAACACAAAACTACTAAAAAGGCGACACGCCTATCTGAGCCACCAAGGAAAACGCCCGTCCCTTCCCGCCCAAAAACAAAAAAACCGCCATTTCGGCACAGAAAAAGGGCGACACTCGCCGCGGACGTCGCGTCAGCCCGACTCGGCCGAAGTCACGTCGGCCTCTGCGGCTGTGGCTCAAAGACATGTACCAAAATGGCACCGGGGTAAATGGAAGCATGTCTATCACCTGCATAACCCTAGCTCTTTAGTTTTGAGCCACACCCAACTTGCTCCGAAGCTTTTCGCCTCTGCGGCGTAAGCTGCGCTGCCAGGCGCCCGAGGCGCACCGCCGCGGCCGCCCCGCCTCGGCAATTTGTGTCCGTCCGGTGGAGCGCGGAGGTTTTTGCTTGGGGAGACCCACAAAGTGGCCATGAAGGGTGTTGTTGCAAAAAAAAAGTGTGTGTAGTGGACATGAAGGGGTATGGTTGTGAAAGAAATGTGCGTGTGTGCGGCAAATTCAGTAAGTCCGAGCCGGTGGTTTCCATGTTAGGTTGTTGGGACAAAGAGAACCGACCTTAATGATTTTGGGGTTCCTTTTGGCTTCCCTGGAAAACCGCCAAAACAGCACTACCCTCCAAAAAGCGACACTTTCTTAAAGCCCCACAAATGGAGTTCAACGACAATGGCCTGGCAACGGACATGGGTTTGTCTCAAACTTTTGAAGTGTCCCTTGAAAACAGCCGAAAAAAGGCTATCCGCCCCCCCCCCCCACCCCCGCAAAAAAACAAAAAGAAAGAAACACTCATTTGCATAATTATTCTGAAAGAATGAGAAAATATATTGCCAGCGATGGATGCCCGAAACCAACGGGGGCAAACATATTCTTAAATGGAGGTTGTTTTCGACTGTTGAGCACCAGGATTTCTTGCCCCACATCTAGGGTACACAGGATTTCAAGATGTGCTGAGCCTGTTTCATATCCGTTGATTGGTCTTTGTGCTGTTCAAACACAAGGCGGTGGTCTATTTTGGGGGGCTTGAACAAGGGGAGGTGTTCCTTTCTTTTTGGTTAAGAGTGGGCTTGTGGGTCTTGTATTGTTATGAGCCTTGTAGGACTGTGAAGCAACTGTTTGTTTGACACCCAATCGAATGGATTGAATTCTTGCTGTTCGGGGTCTGGCAGGTGAAATGCTGGTTCCGAGAGGAACCAAGGGGTTGCGTGAAAGGGCTGTAAAGACGAATGCCAGGCATGCCACTCGGGGCATGGTGCCCCTAGAGAAGGGCCTGAGGTGGCAATGGCAGTGCACAGTGTGTCATTGGAGTTCTACAAGCGGTTGGCTTGAAACTTGCTGGTGCTCAGTGAGGGAATGAACCTGGAAATTCCCTTAAAGGAAACCACCAGTTGGGATTCAGTTTTTCTTGGGGTCATGCCATCATTCCCTACCTACACCAGCAAGAAAAGTGGTTGCTTGAGCGGTTGCCCGAAACCTGGCGGTGACTTAAAGACTTCGGTCTGTGTCCTGCAACTTTTGGCCGCCCGAAAAAGAAGAAAAAACAAAAGGATCGTGGTTGCAAGTGGATTCATGGCAAACCTCAGCAGGATTCCCACAACACATTATGGGTACATATCTATAAAATATATGTATATAAATATATATACATATGTCAACATAGGGAGACCCCCGCAATGGGTGGTTTCCCTTTGCATGGTGTCCCCTGAAATCCGCCAAAAGAACAAGGGGCTCCACCAAAAACGACGGGCCCTTGTTGTAATTCACAAGTCTGATCGGACCTTCTGTCAGATTCCACGAAAGTGAGAGACGCCCGTCACGGTTGCCAATGTTTTGTCGAGGAAAACAAAACTCATCACACATGCATGTGCAACAAGGATTGCAAGCCAAACGTTCGACCAAGAAAAAACAAATCCTGAATGTAACACTAAGCATGCCCGGGCAGAGGGCTGCGTGCCACTGGGCTTCCCTTTAAATGGAGAAATGACTGCTAAAGGCATAGCTCGCTTTGCTCAATTGCAGCGTGCAAGCAAACTCACGCGACTGGCCGACTGCCACCTGTCAACCTGTCAACCTCTGCGCCAAACCGATTTCCAGCTCCATTGGATATTTTGCAAACACCTTTAGGGTTTGAGTCTGTAAGACATGGGTGTGTCTCAAAATAAGGAATCCTCAAAAGCGTGCAAGCAAACTCACGCGACTGGCCGACTGCCACCTGTCAACCTGTCAACCTCTGCGCCAAACCGATTTCCAGCTCCATTGGATATTTTGCAAACACCTTTAGGGTTTGAGTCTGTAAGACATGGGTGTGTCTCAAAATAAGGAATCCTCAAAACTGTTGGTGCTTCTGTTCTTCCCCTTGAGAACCATCCCGAAAAAAGCAAAACGAAGAATTGCGAGCTACACCCTGCCGGTAATCTTCGGAAACCGAAGGCGTTCGGACCCCCCTTTCCAGATTGGTTTAAAGGGAAACCAACAACATCAACAAAAAAACAACAACACCAACAACACCAACAACACCAACAACACAACAACACCACCACCACCACCACCACCACCACCACCACCACCACCACCACCACCACAACAACAACAACAACAACAACAACAACAACAACAACAACAACAACAACAACAACAACAACAACAACAACAACAACAACAACAACAACAACAACAACAACAACAACAACAACAACAACAACAACAACAACAACAACAACAACAACAACAACAACAACAACAACAACAACAACAACGACAACAACAACGACAACAACAACAACAACAACAACAACAACAACAACAACAACAAC